GTGCCGCCGCCGCCAACTTCACCTGTCTTTGGAAATCTGCGTATCCGCCGCCGCCGCACCGCACATCATCATCACAAACAAACTGTCACCACGGCTGTTTGTTGGCGAACTAACAATGATGCAACAGCAGATGTGTTTATTTGTAGCAGATGACACAATTAAGGGCAACTGACAGGCAAATAAACACGGTGAGGCAAAACATCTGGTAGGTAAGGGAAGGAGGTGGTGGGGGGGTATTGTTGTCGTTTGTGCTGGAGCTTGTAAGTCAGCGCCAACAGCGAGGAAGTGTTTAGAGATGTGCCGTAAAGCGGGAAAAACAATTTAACAGATCTGACAAACAATTACTGTTTGTTTATTTGAAAGTGAAAAGAAACGAGAATGGAAAAACAACGAGTTCGCCCGTGTGGAATGTGGAGAAAAACTCAATGTGAACATGTTTGTTTGATCTTGTGCTGTTGCCAGTCGTTACAAAGCATGTTGGAGCCAGCTTATTTATGTGTGTGTGTGCCTGTGTGTGTGCACGGCTGTCACTCATGTTAACTCAATGTGAAGAGGCTGCTCCAAGCGGAAAGTTGAGTCCTATATATTTGCCACAATGGCTGGTGTTATTAAGACCTTGATCCGTGTTTTCTTTCTGCATGGGGGGAGGTAAGCTACTGGAGGCTGCATGTCTTGGCATGGTGGCTCGGTCGAGTCAGGGTGGGAGGACACAAACACACACAAACACATATCTCGGCTCTGTAAACATCGCTGATTCAAACCAGCATCAGGGAAACTCTCTTTCAGCACAATTTAAAACATTGTTCGAGAAGTAATGACAAATAAATTTGGTTTCACGCAGGAAAAAGTTGCATAAGACACATAAACAGACTAATTTAGCAAAAGTAGAGTATCGTGCAACTTTCTCTGCCATTTTGAGTTTGTTTCAGGAACTGTTTCACTTGGCAGAACAGGAAATTCCAAGAAAATTGCAACAGAAAGCTATTGATTGAAACCATAATTGTAGAAGACAAGGAAATATTTCGGTGTGTTTCTAAATAACACATAAAAGTGTTTGGTAAATGTGCAAAACACTAATCCAGCAGCATATCCTGCCATGTATGTGGTGGAAAACGATAAACTTAAACAGAACACGCGTGCATGCATGCCAAACAACCTGCCAATCGACCCACGAGAGCCAGATGACTGGAGGCCAGTGGAGCCCCCGTTCATTTAAGTGATGTTAAGAACAAACAATCAAAAGTGCAGCCTGGGAGACCGCAACACGTCCACATCAGCGTGTGACATGTAACAATGGTGACATCCCATTTATAGCTCAAGGAGCGTGAACAAGCAAATAAACAGGCATCCCCGGTCCGCACGTCCCTCTCAATTTGCTTCTCCCACAGTCCACTGGCCAGACGGCGGAAGGGAAAATAGAAAAAAAGTTGAAAGTGCTCAACTTTGAGCTGATGTCTTATTTACAGTTTAGTGACGCCAGCCTCCCTGAGACAGAGGCAGAAAAACACACTGGCAGAAGCCTCCAAAAAAAAGAACTATACTTCGAGACGCCAAAACATCCGTACTAGGGGGGGGTGTTGTCTGCAATGTTGAGGAATAAAAGAAATGATTTGAAAACATCTCTGTGTCTTTCATTCCTGTCTGATTCTTTTTTCCTTCTCCCAGGCAGTTGTTGTCGGTGCCGTCTTCGCGGGGCACCGTGTGTGGCAGAAACTTTGAACCTCACCGTGCCCCATCCGCAGTTTTCCCCCCCTTTTTTCTTTTTCCCCGAGTCTCATGATCTCGCTAACTGCAACACGTTATCTTCGCATCGTCGTGGCGACGCCTCCAGGTATCAAGGAGATTAGAAGCAGCGAGAGGCCCGTGTACCACAGCAAAGCTTTAGCAAAAGGGGGTCTTTAAATATTTAAGGTGTGAGCACGATCACACATTGTTACTCTTAGAAGAGAGGGGGGAACAAAAGGATACAAATCTTTCACTTGAAATCATTTACATTTCATTGCCGAGCCTATGTTCTGACACTGATGTCATTTTGAAGTGTTGAATTTGAGAGTTGTGTATAATAAATAAATACAATTAAACTTTATGAGCCACTTTTTGTTAAAAATAAACAAAAAAAATATCCTTATGAGCTTTTTGTCACTGCTGATGCAATTTTGATGCAATACATTAATTATTTGAGCGAGAGAAATAACAAACAAAGACATGGCGCGAAGAGGAAGGCATCTTCGGCCTCTTGTCAAAGTCCATTAGAGTCCTCAGGTAATGACCCTATTTGCATTGTAAACCAGGCCCTTGTGTGAGAGGGCTAATGGGGCCACTACCTGAGGAGATGAATTGAAAGTGACATTACTTGAACTCTCCTCTGGTTGTTTTTTTATTCCTTCCTCCTCTGAAAGATCGTCTCATCTTATTTTAATGTCATGCCACAAGTCTAAACAGCTAGGTCGAGTCTTTTCAAACTTCGACACGAGCACAGAAGAGGAGGAGCAGGAGGAGGAAGAGAGAAGGTAAGCACATACATGATGTGAGCCCGCACTGTAAAAAAAAAAAAGCACTGGCAGCAAAAGTTTCCAAACATTTCCCATCACATAACTTTTGGTATTTGACAGAGATACACAAAATATAATTAATATAAATACATACTTCCAGCAATACAATGTTGACTTTTACATACAATTCAATGTAATTTATATTGATCTATCTATTTTTTACTTTAAATAGCTTTTATACCTACTAAGGAAACCATAGCATTCCACATAACAGTTGTGAACTGGATGCAATGAGATTCTACTGTGCACTTGCCTTGTGTGTGGTCTGAATCTTTATGGATTAAGATTTACAGAAATTAACTGTAATTTTCATGGCATTGACACTGAAGGTAGAATAACTGTAAATACATTTTCATTTAAGGGATTCAAATGCACAGAGATGTATTACAAAACAAACTACTGAAGGCCACATGCTTTATGTACGGCAGTATTAAAAAAGTTGGCGATAAACTTCTAGAAATCCGTGTTTAAAATCCATTCGTGCCATTGTGCAACAATGCGAGTCATTTTCTGATGTGCTCCAGATGCAGAAAAAAATTGCACACAGCTGCTGACAGTTATTGTGTCCGAGAGATTACACTTAATGACTCGCAACACAATATCATAAACATATCAAAATGAATCACCTCAATGCTAACAGCTAGTTAATGACGGCCATTATGGATCGTATGGATTGATGGAGAGGTGGTGGGGTAAAGGGGGGGCGGACATGCAGTCCCACTTTCTGCCATTTGACAAAAAGAAGCATTGATGTTCCATCTGGAAAAAAAACAGATGGTGAATAAAGAGAAGTGTCACAAATTACTGCCACCCCATCTTGTCCTTGTCTAATTAGTCTTATTATATGTAATTATAATATGGTTGTAATCTTATCAGTATACAACTCTCAGGTCTTTCTCTCATACGAAAATAAAGGAAACAAAACACCATTAATTTATCCATCTGCTTTTTTTTCTCCCATAAAGCAAAGGCAGTAATTTGTCCTCCTGGCCGAGGGCAGGAGACCTTCATTTTCTGAGTGAGAGAGTTGCATCCCAGCCATTTAAGCGAAAGAAGGGACGGACGGATGGATGAATACACGAGTCGTCGTCAGAGGTGGCCACGGCCGACACTCTAATTTATTTAATATTGTAAGAGAAGTGACCTTGAGATCAGAGGAGTGCTGAATTTATCCCCAGATGGGAAACAGAAACAATGGAGCCGTCCTAATTGTGACATTACAATCCAGCACACAGTGAACGATCAGAGGGGGATTGATTGGAGGAGTGGAAAGGTGGGCGACTTTGTGAAAAGGTCACTTCACACTCTACCTGGAGTTTTTAATATTTTCCGCCTCCTCTGTGAATGTGGACGAAAGTGAAAGAAAGAACGAAAAGTGCAACTCCTGTGTGATTGTGGACTTCCTGCAAAGTGATATTTTCCCCAACGCATTAGTGAAATAAGATGGTAATTTTCTCGGGGCCAGGGTGTATCCAGGCAGAAAATGATAAAAGGAAATAAAGATAGAATAAAAGGAGTAGAGGGGGGGGGGCTCTTCGTCTCTGCTCCTCCAGCAGGGGGGCTGACGTGGAGGTTAATTGAGGGGTTAACAGGGGGTAGTGTCAGCTGAAGGTCAGACTACTGTTCCAGTCAGCGGGGGGTCCCTGCTCCCCGATGACCTCAGCGAGTGTTGCCGGCCATGTTTCCATGTTAGTGCTAATGCTGCGCTCTCATAGAGAAAGAGCAGCAGGAGGACGGTGCAGCGCAGAGCTGTGACGGAGTTGAGAGGTGACAGATGTGGCCATCAGGGAAACTTACACTTTCTGTAGCATCGTCCCAAACAACAGAAGAAACACATGGCAGAACAACCTGGAGTTTGGAAAACACAAGTCTCAGATTACAGACGTGCAAATCAGGTTTTTTTAATCCAAGATTGCAATGTCTGCAACCAGTTGCTACGGTGATGAAATAATAATATGAGGGGTGTCAAACTGGACTAGAGTCAATATAAATATAAAATTAAACTGACACATGCAAGGGAAGTAGTTGAATTAAAATTTAGAAGACAAATAAGAAGTGGAGGGGAGTCGTGACAGCTCCTGCTCCCTGCAACTTCGATCAATGACATTACAATTCCGTTGCAGATTTTCTTCTTCAATTTATCAGATTGTACATAAACCATCAGAAAACAGTGAACATCTCCTTCATAACTTCTCACAGTCCAAGGGGGAATATTAAGATGTCTGAGTTGTCTTATCTTTGTATGTAAAGATGGACGACTTCCTCACACTGTCCATAAATGAAGCCAAAACTTTCTGGATCTACACCAACATTTAATGCCTTTTTCCTGGACTCATACTACATCTTTCCAACAGGTTTTGTTGTAATCCTGTTAAAAAATTAAACACAGACACAAACAGAGACAAAAAGAGGTAATTAGCGCAAAAACAACCGTTCGTTTTTTCGGAGTGTTTTATTTTTTAAAAACGTCTCTGTGGAATTGAAGATAATATACAAAACAAATATAACGACTTGTGAACTCCAATGTGGGAAACGATGCATCGAAATGAAAATGAGAAGGATCAAGTGTAAAGCACAGAATTTAAAAAAACAACAGTATAGTATTGGAGGACAAGTACTGTAGCTACATGTTTCTTTTTTTAGATAAATTCTTCACATTATGTGTATGGTGTTTTCTTGACTCTTCAGCCCATGACGAACCGCACATGGCAGCACATCATCTTTGTTGGCTCTACGAAGGGACGTCCTTTTTTATTGTTATCGAGCGGTGCTAATGAAGGGCCAGCATTAAGCATCATCGCTTAAACACCATCAAAGCACATCTGCTCGACAAGGAACTGACTCCACTGGTGATTCACACCACAACCTCATCTCCGAATACACAGAATTAAGGAACAGAGATAGAGAGAAGGGGGGAAAAACGAGAAGAAAACTGCCTTTACCCTGCATTAGTTTACGATTTCAATGTGACAGTTCATGATTCCTTTTTTTGTATAGTGAGTCACTGGGCTTGATTCCCCGGAAAGCCGCTTATATGGCAACCAGGGTCGCCATTTCTTAATTCCTTATCACGCCCCTCGTGAGCAGGGAGCGTAGTTCAACCAGTCACACTTACACAGTATGTATGTAAAGCAGCATCGCAAGAGGAGGCTTGTACCATAGGCGACTGACAAAGCATTATCGTCGATGGCTAATGGCGGAGGATGACGTTCAAAGGAATGAAGACATAAGCTGCAGATGTTGTTTATCTGGCAGGAAACTGTACAGTGAGCTGGTCAGACGCTTTTGTACTAAACACGTGAGGATGAGCACTGTATTTTCCAGTAAACCCAAGGATTCAAATAGTGCCAAATCAAGAGGTTGGCCATAGACATTCCAGTACTTTTGTAACATTACAATTATCAGCAATTTTGTGCAGTTTATTTCTGTCTTCATGACAGTATGAAGCATTTGGTATCTACAACGTTCCTTATCCAGATGACATGATGTGCTTATCTGCCATATTTCACCAGTTTCAATTGTTCTACAGTGCCACAGTCAGACTGTGTGTAAGTGAAGGTGTGTTGCAAAATACAGTATGCATCTAAGAGTGTATGATCTGTCACATAAACATTTTTACTAGAGATGTTCCGATACCATTTCACTTAATTGATCCCTATACCGATTCTGACTTTGCACATCTGCCGTTACAGAGTACCAATCTGAGAACGGTGCATTTAAAAAAAAAATAGAGTAGTGCTCCTACTCCAGAACTAGTCATTGCATCTCTGTTATATAACAGGTCTGTAAACCAATCAACACAATCTTCAGACCAAATTTCACAGCTCAAAATAAAAGCTTATTTCAGCTTATTATAAAGCACAGTAGCAACAAAAGAAATATCTCCTAACACTGCTACATAGTGCTGTCTGCCTGTTTATATCCATTTCATTATTTTTGAAGGTACAACAAGTCCAAATCGCACCAAACTCTGCACTTTCTCTTGTAATTTAGTAAACACAGTTTGTGTGTGAGGCCAATTAGATGAACAGTTCATGGGGTATGCATTCCACATACACACAGACACTTTACCCTCTAAAAACAGTACTTGCCAGTGGCAGTCTGGGGCGACTGCTGTTTTGGAATTAAGAAGTGATTTTCGGGATAAGAAAATTGCAGTTTTATCAGGGTGGAAATAATCTACTTTAAAGACTTGTATTGGATCATAAAATCGATTTGCAGACTCGCCAATGACCGCATCGTAAGAATTTCTGATGAGGGTATCGGAACATCTCTAATTTTTACAGTGTTGTACAGAACTAAGACTGCAACCTCAGTTCCTGAGCATTAAAAAACACAGAAGTATTGGTAATGGAAATGAACCCAAAAAAAGGCAAGATAAGATACAAACAGCATTCCTGATGTAACAATAAAATCTGTGATAATACTTGTTTTTGTCGCTAAGAATAGAATAATTAACAGAAACAAATTTAAACTATAAACTAAAGATTTAAATGACATGTTCATATATCTGGAGTTACTTCTAGCCCCTGCTATGCTGGTTTTGATGGAGGAGCCCAGTGTCAATACATCTTACGACGTTTTACTCAGCCACCTCAATTTATTTCACACACTCAACATCACTCATTATTTCACAAAAAAACACCACACACATTCACACACACTTATTCCCTCTGTTGTTGCTGAATTTAAAGTGACAGCAGCATCCTTCCATATTTTCTTTGCCGGGGTCCAGTTATCCCCTGCAGAGTCACCGTGGTGCGCAGCAGTGCCGGCCTCCTCCCTATGTGGGGAAGCAGATGCCGCAGCACTCCATACAGATTTCCAGGCAGTCCGAGGACTCGCAGCAGGCATCCATGATGCCGCAGTCCATGTCACAGGGGCAGTTGCAGTCGTCGCCCAGGTCGTCGGTGCAGCAGCAGCAACAGCAGGCCTCTGACGTACATGCGCCACACGAGGCCTGCGCCACCACCATGTTGCACAGCGTCAGGAACTCGCAGAACAGGCAGGCAAGGATGCAGTGGACACAGCAGTCTGGGTCCATGTCAAACCAGCCAAGGTGACAAATAAAAAAATAAATGTATGACAATAAAATAAATCAATGTGTGAAATATATAACGAGTATTCGGGCCAAAGGAGGAAATCATAATATTACAAGAAGTAAGTCTAAATTTAATGAGGAAATTGTCATAATATGTCAATAAAAATGAAACTTCATCAGAATTCTTTCTTGCACAATCTTTTCAAAATCCTGAAACTTAAAATAATGTGGTGCAGATGTGTCAAAAGATTTAGAAATGAGTTATTTCTGAAAATTTGAATAAAGCATAACTTTACAAGATGCACCACATTCCTTATTTTAAGGCAGGCAACAGACTGATGATAAATGATAAGAAGTGGCCTAAATGACCCATTCTATATCTTTATTCTTGTAATATTATGACTGTTCCTGTAAAATTACTACTATTTTCAAAAAGAACCCCACAATGTTATGACAAATAAATGTAATATTATAAATCTGAGAGTCTGAGAATTAAGTTATAACAATATGAGGCTAAATAATGCGAATATCCCGACTTAATTCTTGAAATATCCGATTTTTATTTCCTTTAAAGTGGCCCTCGTACTCTATTACATCTAGTACATAGTTGGAGTTATTATTTTTACAAGAAATGAGTTACTGTTAGGGTGAGTGAGCTAGGTTAGCATGCTTGACAGGCTGACAGCAGAGCGAACAAGGCAGGGGTAAAGGGGGGGATAAAGGAAATAAGAGATATTCAAAGAAATGAATTCCTCTCCTGCAGTTTTGATTAACGGACTGTTAAATAATTGTGACATTATCATGCAAACTGCTGGGCTGATCACACAAAGATGATTAGCAAAGTCCGAGAGTCTCTACCCGGCAAATAGGTGAATTAATGCAGGCGACGCTCAAACCTCTGATTAACATTTCACCTCCTCATTTCATGTTTCAAGTTTCAGCTTGTTGTTCCACAGCGATTAAGAGTTTCCCTTTAAATTACCAATGTACCCATTAAGCATCACAAATCTGTCTCTGGATGGCTTCGTTACAATGCTACATGTTCTGGTTTGAATCAGTAAGGAAATATGACAAATGTAAAAGTAGTAGATGCTGCGTAGGAGTTTTATTTCAGTGCTTTTTTATTTATTTCTTTATCTTCAGCATTAATCTATTTCCTAAATATAGATGTTGTCTACATAATCTGAATTCAATCAGACTTAATTTATCTATTCTCCTTCAAAAAAACAAGTTAACAAGTTTTTAACTTTAAATTAGAATTATGAAGTAATTGTTATTGCACAATTTATTGACTTTAGAATATCAACACCATCTGCGTTAAGATTGATCCCTAATCATCCATCTGCCACAATCAAATCTCCCAGGGAAAGGAAGGATTGATTTACAGCACAACTGAACTGCCATTGCACAACTAAAACAGGAAGAGGGAAACGCTGTTATTCTCTCTAATAGATATCCAGGTAGCGGAAGTGGTGGACAGGGGAACAACTGAAGTCGTTGTGGAAACTACTCAGCAAGAGAAAAAAGAGGAAAAAAGCAAAAGTGGGCAAAGAGGAAGAGATAGAAAGCGAAGTGAAGCCTGAAGTGAACCTCAGACAGGGTTCACTTGATGGAGAGAGCACCAGGAGTTGAGAGGATTAAAGACCGACTAACGCTGTTTTCAGGCATTCAAGAAAATGTTGTGATTTCAGTACATGTCTGAAAGAGAATTTAGAAAACAAAGCAAGCAAACGTCATGCCTTTATTTAATGTATTTATTGTATTCAATGTTTTTGCTCAATTTCTGTTTTGATGCAGCAGCACCCATAACCCCAAAAATGTCTACCACTGGAGACTAACCTTTAACAAATAAACTAATAAATTCAGATTTGAAGGATAAAATGAGGCAAAAAAATCAGACACATAAATAGAGTAAGAGGTGGATGTATAAAATCTATGCAAAACTCAAGCTGCTCCACATCAGAGCTTCTGTGGTTGTATCCAAGTTACTAAATCATCTTAAATATCGTTCAGTAAGTGCACCTGGCACACGCTCCTGCAGCTGTGTCCTTTTTGAACCGAGGCCGACAGAGCGCCGCTGCTTTGGAGTGTTAAAAAGACATGATGTGAATAGATGCAGAAAAATAGCATTACAAACAGGGCACATTTGCATAACTTTCATCAGGCCATCTCGAGCTGTCAGGAGGGGCTGTTACTGATTGGGTTGGAGGCAAGGCGAAGGGAGAGGAGGGTGCAGGACGGCACGGGAAGGCGAGAGCTCAGGACCGCTGGATGTTCATGTTTGATTAATCAAAGTGGTGGAGATTTTTTTCCCCCTATTTTTGTGGCGCTCAGGGCTGCGGCGCTGACCAGAAGCACTGGCTGACTGCGATACAAACAAGATAGAGGAGGGAACATGAAAGGAAGCGAGCGTGTGTACGTGTCCGCGTGTCTGCGAGGGCGCCTGAAGTTTGAATGCATCTTATTATCCTTATCTGAGACCATACCATGGCGCTGATGGGAGATGCACGAGAATAAATCCTTTCGCTTTGAAACATCTGGCGTGGACATGCAGTACATCGCTGTTGGGCAGAGTGTGGGATTTGTTTCAAGCGAGAATAACAAAACTCACACCACAGTCCACACTGGCATTCGCTGTAGTTAGTGCCATCTGAGTGCTACAAAACGCCAATGAGAGCAATAAACGCCGCCCGACCACAGGGGCATGCACGGAACCTCAAAGTTCAGCCTAACAAACTTTGAAGGACCCAGAGGGTATAGCCATGCCAGTGTTCAGAAAATAACAGTAGACTGAGAATACGATATAAACAGTACATAGGCATTAAGCAGCGGCTGGCCATCTCAGCTATTCACTTGGATGTATAATTCAACACCAGCGATTAGTCTGGATCTTAGAGGAAACGGCGAGGAGGAGGGGAGCGAGGGGGTCGTATACTGTACACAAGAGAGTTAGGACGCACACAGGCACATCTCCGAGAAAAACAGAGGGAGACGGACAGAGACACAGAGTGAAACCAACCGGCAGACAGACAGAACAGCGCACACTGACACCGCTCCTGTTTAATGTCAGCGAGCGGCAATGAAGCCCGGAGATCGCAGAGGCCAAGAAAGCGGCGTCCGGCGCCTCTGAGGAAATAGTTTGAGACATCTGGAAAGCTAACATCCAAAAAAAAAAAAGGAAAAGAAAAAGGGAGCGGCATGACACAAAACAAGCTGGCTGGGGCCTCGGAGAAGCAAGCTGTGCAAAACATTCAAACTCACAAAGAGGGAGAGAGGGGGAGAGAGAGGAGAGACGGCGAGATGGCGAGACAGACAGAGATGAAGAAAGGGAGATTGATCAGATGAAGCCTCGATGGCCGAGGGGAATGCACACAAGGCACACATGGGTAAAGAGGGATGAGAGCTGGACAGCAGAGGTCCAACACATGCACTTTAAAAGCAGGCCTGTTGGTAATGCATGACCGAGGGGAAAGTTAAAGCTGGAGGACTGGAGCTTACACAACACGTCCAGGTTTACAGCTTAGGAAAAGACTACGCTAACTCTCTAAATGAGGCTAAAGCAGCTTGGAGACATTAACTGATTACACACAATTAACAAAAACACCAAGTGGATGACAGGAGTTGAGAGAACCCAGCAAGCCAAACAAAAGCAGCGCAGTGAATGACTCCTCAGCGTTATCACAGATTGGCGCCGGTGCCAACAGCGTGTGCCAAGAAACGGCAGAATCCCCAGAGCTAGTTCATGCTAGCTTACGCCTTTTATTTCCCGTGTTCAGGGGGCTGTTTAGGAGGCTAATTTCACAGGCAAACAGATTATGTTAATCCGTGTAAACATTCAAACACAACAGCTTGGCTGTTTTCCTGGGGGAAATAAATAGTTGAGAGCGAACATATTGATTCTGAGAGCTCTTGTGTCTGCAAATAAGCAACACGAAAAGAAAAAAAACATAATGAGACAGACTTGTTGAGCTGCTGCTGTTTTATTTTTTTTTTCCTCTTCACACCCTCTCTTCTGTTCTTTACCAATTAAGATGTTGAAAACATGATGCGTCTGGAATATCTCTGGTGGATGCATCCCACCTTTACTTGCACCTTTAAGTGCTGTAAAAGTGTATGTGTGCCTCCTTTTTGTTTGCCATAAATCAAACAGATGCATATTTCAAGTAGATTCCCGACGGTCAAATTCTCTTCTTCATTTAAAATAACTTGTGCGGTGCCCTTTTTAAACCTGCCTGTTTGGAATGGGCTGTTTGACCTGCAGTTATTGAGCAGCAGCAAGTAAAGACCAGCTGTTGTACTCAATCCACAGAACCCTGAACCCATGCTGCACAAAGAGTTGTTCACCTGTATATTCAAAGTTCAGTGAAGCTCAACTCAGGACTCTGCAGAATCAGTTGTTGTTACGGTTGTCGAGACTGCGCTGTAGTGATCGACAACGTCACTTCTGTCAATGAGTTCCAGCCTCCACTACTAAAGGGCGCTGGTCACCTGTTTATTCATTGTTTCAATCGACAAACAAAACCAATGTGTGCTTTTACCTTTTTTTACAAAGTAAAAGCACACAAGCAGACAAAGAGGAACTGAACCATTGACACACATGAGTGTTTGGGATTCGACCTGCGGTTTGACCCGGTTGACCACTGCCGTAAAAGAAGACATGCTCAGCTCAGGGCACACTGCCCCACCCCCAATGACTGCTACAGAGCGCTGGTCACTTGTTTATTGAGAGTTCATTAATGTTTGCATGTCCAAATTGCACCAAACTCAACCCTGCATTTTTGAGATATGCGACAGAGATCTCTGGATTTAACAGGTAGATAACTGCGTTTTTTTAAATCATTCAATAACGCATGATGGCACATCTTATTTTTCATCTTCACCTGAAATTATAGCAGATGTAAAACAAAGCAGCAAATGCCTTTGGTTGCAAGTAGGAGCCACTTCCACCAAAAAGGAAGACATGCCTAAACCTTAGTATTGCACAGGCTGAATAAAGAACACACAGATGTCCACAAACACATGCACAGCAGTACATTGGTGCGACAGGGTCCTGTTAATGATGCTAGGGTGGTGCTGACAGGGTTGTAGGGAGAGCCAGGGAGGGTCCAGAGAGGTGTGAGGGGGCGCGAGGGGCCTGAAGAAGGCTGGTCACGACTTTTAATAGGCCCCCTGCGCTCTCAGGCCTCGTTAGATGGTCACACCTATCTCCCCAATGGAAGAAAAGACCACCCGACCGCCTTCATTATTGGACTCACCTCGGCCTTGCACCTGACAAAGTGACGGCTTCCCCGCATGGCCAGCGGATCACTCTGACTTGTTGTTAAAGAAAATAAAAACTGCGGGAGCGGGATAAGATGTCATTTGCTTGACGGGAGTGATAAATATGAGAGGTCATGCACTCCCATCATTAAAAGGTGAGAGAAGGTAAGAAGGCATTATCAATATCTTATAAAGGTATTATTTCAGGAGGGCCTGGGAAGAGCAGCACCTTCAACAGAGGAATCACTTTGATGGCGATGATTTGACGCTGTTCTCATTTCACTGCGCGAAATTTATAATTTCAGAGAAAACTCAGCTGCATGGCACGCAATTGTTCGTTTTATTGCATATTAGAAAATGTTTTTGTTGCAATTATCTTTTCATTTTCTATTAATTTAAATTTTATGGTTCCTGGTGTTTAAACGTAATATTAGATACAATTACAGAAACTGACAGAGCCTTCTTTCAGTAGTCTGCGTTATTTTCGTCATATATGTGCACATCATCCGACATACGGACATGAACGAAACGAAGCAGTACCAACAGAAATCGTGGGGGGGCAGTGTAGCCAGAAGGCAGCATTGATGCATTTACAAACACTGAGATATGAAGCAGTTTCAAACATATCCCTTCTACATGAAATTAATTCATGACCAACAGAAGATGGAATGCAGAAAGAGAAGCATGCTGGCAAACGCGTTAAAACGTTAGTAGGAGTATCAGTATTAGTTCTCAGAGTGTGTACACTGCTCTCTTTACTTGCTGTCATTATTGCCTGGCGTGTGGATACTCACCCTCTGGAAGCGGAGCTCTCTGCGACCCAGTGGAACTGCCTTTACTGCGTCTGCTGCTGTCACTGTTGACCGACAAGCTGGACCTTAATTTCCTCTGCATCCTCTGCGACACCGGTGTGGACGGCTGCTTCCTGGGCTGCTCTGTCATCGGCCGCTCCGTCGCTCTTGTGCTCGGGCCTGAGCCACCCTCTGCGCCCGTGCTGACGTTGGCACCGCAAGTGCAAGTGCACGTGCGTGTGGCCCCACCGATGCCAGGGTGGATTCCTCTGCCGTTACTCAGTGCAGCCGTGCCAGTGCCATTGTGGGGAAGGCCATTTTGGTCCTTGACGGCGTCTCCCTCGGTCGGATCCAATGGCACAGGTCGAGACTCAGAGTGAGGTTGAGCTGCAGGGAAACATGGAGAAGGAAGGATATCTTTTTTTAATCCTGTTTAGATTCAGTACAATTACTTACATTAGTGGTCAAGTGATTAAATTTCCCTGGAGTATTTCATCTTTAGCGCATTTATTCAGCTGAAACACCTGCGAGCTAAGGGCCTCAATACAAAACAAATGAAACTGAATATTGAAACAGAGCAGAAGACTGCTTATTTATTCAAAGATTAATTTTTGATGTGACCACTAATATAAAAGAGCACCAAAAGGAACTTAACTTAAATAACGTACTTTATGGAATCTATTATTTAAGGAAGACAAAGAGTTGTGGGTTCTTTTCACTCTTTTCGGGGCTAAACGCTAAACTTCATTTTAACTGAGAAAGAACTTTATCTGCACTCTCTGCACCTCACACTTCAAATCTTTTATTCACATATGAAGTCTCCGTAGCTTGTGTTGTTCACGTCTTATAAATCGAACGCCGGCGGATTTGTCGGCGAAATGATTCTCAGCAAATCTTGCCACCGTTTCCTGACATCGTAATATCGATCGTATGGCAAACACTTCAACATGGAGTGACGGAGGGAAGTGGAGAGATGCGGGGAGCTCATATGTGACAGGTTCACAAAAGCCACCGCTGTAGGCAGACAAGACGTGTGTGGGAGCATCACCCAGGTGAGTTAAGACAGTGCGAGAGGAAGAAGAGATTAATACAGTAGAATAAGAGAGAGCGGGCCTGTGATGCTGTGCATATACAAAATACCTGCTGTCTGCAACAGTAATGATCTCCTTCCTTCTGAAAGCTCAGCGATGGCCTCCACTAGTCTTTCTAAGTGTGTGTGTGTGTGTGTGTGTGTGTGTGTGTGTGTGTGTGTGTGTGACAGCCCAACAAAGTCAGGAGACAGCGACCTGTCTAATAAGAAAGAAGGCGAACAATGTTAGTGAGCAAAGGAGGTGGCATTTTACTGAGAGGAACACCTGCACATTCAGCTCTACTGGGAGTTACTCCGACGTTACCTTCCCTCCACATCAGAGACACGGTGCTTGTGCACACGCAGCCAGTGCACGATTAACTCAAGATTTTTGTGAATTATTCATTTCTTTTTAAGTTTCTCTGCGTGAACTGTAGTTATTCTTTTTTTCCTTATTCTATACTTTCCTTATATACATTGAATATACGTCACACCTGAACTCTGGATTCTGGCTCGTGCTGGACAGAAAGTTAGAACAGTGTTTAGCTGCCATCCACAAAAAACTAAGATCAACAAATTTTCCAAAGTGTATGCAAACCTTAATATGATGCCGGTAATTTCTTTCCATCTCCATTTTCTTTCTGTCAGCTCACCAACAAGCGCAATTACGGTTAACAAGATCGGGAGAGAGTGTGGGAATCTCGGGGCCTTGCGCTTTTTAACAACACATCACTCTGGGAGAGGCCAGACGTGAATGTGGATGTAAAACAAAGCAATTAAATACACACACTGTTTTTTTTTTTCTCCTTCTCCTCATTCAGGGTTCTGAATGCTGCTTCTGATAAACAAATATAGACTTTAGGGATCAGGATTTCATGCAATTTGAATTAGACAACTGGGCAGCGCACGATAGAATTCATTATGCAGTGATTTAAGACCAGGTTGATGGATTCTCTACTCCAGAAGACAAAAGCCTTTCAGCCTGCCCATGACAATGTGAGGAGACTAAAGCTCACTAACAAGGAGACTCGGAGAAGCCTACATCTGTTGTTGTTCTTCAGTTTTACCCCTGACAGCTGCAATAGCTGCTTATTTTTTTCCCACCACTTTTTTTCATATTTTACAAGAAAGCTGAGAACATGTGCACCACAGAGTGTCCTACACGTCAACACAGTGCTCTTTACTGAAGAGGCTTGGGATGATGTTTTGATGGTGGAACATTAAGTTGGAGCATATGACTAATAGATTTATGAAAAATAAAAAAAGGTCACTTTTATTATCATTACCAGACATCAAGCAAATGTCTCATTATTATTTCAAATTTCAAAGACTGATTATTGCTTCTGAGGGAAAATTGTGGTTGTCAACACTTCTCACACTTATACATATCGATATATATGGTGGATTTATCTGAGGAGGTATCTGATATGAAAACATTTCTCTCATGGATTAAACTAGAATTGCACTCAGAAGAGCTCACAGCTAAGCAACGGCCCAACAGTAAAGAAACCTTGCAGTGATTATGTTTACCAGCTACACATTAGTTGTAGTTACAAGATTGTAGCCCTATTTGTTACCATGCAGTGGCTGAAAACAGTCTACACCCCTACGAAACCACATTCAAATCCACTGGATCCGGATTTTTATTTGGATCTGCACAAAATTGCACATTCTCTTCAATACCAACCCCCGAAATATCGTATGTCTGAATTTTTCATTAAGATTCACATATAATTATCTCAGAATTCAACTAAAATGCCTCTCACAATGTTATATATATGTGAAATAACAACATCTTAGATACTATTGCTTTTTTTCAAAGATAAATATCTGCCAATATATCTGTATCAGTAACTCTCATCAGTATCGATATAGGCCTCTAAAAATCCCCATCAGTCGGGATCCAGCTGTGATTGACAGTATTTCCTCAGCAGCAAATCTGGCTTATTCTCTTACTTTGCTCCAATTTCCACCTCATATAGATTGTATTATCAATGTTTGCACATTTGTTTTTACACTGACAGAGATTTGAAGCTAAATGAATGAGAAAGACTAATTTTCCTAACACATATTTTTCTGTCTTTGTTTCCTCAGACGTAGCCTCATACTTTAATGTGTAAGCACAAGAAGTAATGGCTGACATTTATGGAGTTGACAAGGGAATTCCCTCCCTGCAGCTAATGATTAACTTGTCCAAACTAATTTGCAAAGAAGCAATACACACACAAACAGAGCACAAGTTGCAGCTGCGGAGTTAAGAGCTGAAGAATTCACCTGTTTCTTCAACATCATGAAGTCAATGCAACGCAGCAAACAGAACGAAATCAATCATCTTAGGTAATAACAGTCGTTTTTACCATTTAGGTTAAGAGAACCAGCCACACACACAAACAAGTTTGTGCACAGAAAGGCCAAAGTAGACTTGGAGGCATGATTACCTTTCCTTTTGAGGAAGTCAAGCCTTCAATTTACCAGAGTACAAATAGTTATTAAGAAACCACCACGTAAAACCAAGAGCACATAAGCAGCAACTCAGGTTTCTGACACGCTGCAAAGCCCTAAAAAAGTGGTTCACGTCTGCCAAGTTGTGTGCTGCAGTGGCAGGTTCTTTGGATGGTTTTTATTTTTATCCTGATGAACTATGTGACTGAGATGAATGGACACAGCGGAATAATATTCATAATCATTGATCACGATAATGATGATCCTGTCAAAGATGGCAATGACGGACTTGTACAGTCACAGCAAGACAAATGAAGACATAATGAGATGAAAAACCAGGAATATAGTGAAGTCTGCCGGAATTGTTCAACAGCTGTAGGATGAAATGTCAGCAACAGACAAAGTTCCAACTTTCTTATGAATATAGAGAAGCGTTTAGCTGCTGCAGAGCCAGATATTTACCTCAGGAGTGGGTGGAGACCAAAAACTGCTAAATCACAAGAAAATGTATGATTAGAACTTATTGAAGTGATATTTTTTTTTTTTTATTTTAGTCTGCAGGAACTGATTTGCAGTGTAATAGAACTGTTGTATTTGTCTAACGTTGTCGCCCTTGGTTTAAAAGAATAAATACAGATTTCGAAAAAAGCCAATTCAAACAGCCATTGTGCTATTGCCATTGCATCAGGGCGATTCAAATTAATCAAACAACAAATTTTACATTACATTATAGACACCATTATTGTGTATTCAACTTCTATAGGTATTGACTTTGGCTTTAAACAAAGTTGAGCTTCACAATTTCAAAATGATATCATACAGTAATGATGTTTTCAAACATTAAGTTTGATTCCACAACTGAGGATTCAAGATTTTGTGCAAATATCAGCTTGTGCCTGTTAAAGACCAGATTGTAAGTTGGAGACCCCAGTGAATCAGTGTGTAGGAAAATGATGTAGAAATTAGATTTTCAAAAAAATGCGTTCTACTTTTGGAGTGGTTTGGTGAGAGAAGTTTGCTTCCACATCTGAAAAAGATAAACCAAATAACGTATCATGAGGGAGATGGCAAAATTGGATCACATTTTAAAATAATAAATAGGGAATAAATAATATGGAATTAATCCTTACGGAGCAACAAAGACACGCTGCTGCTGCATCTCATAACAGAGCAGGAAACACAACCAGCACCAAAATTTGATATGAACAACTTCAAGCAAGTTTAAAAGAAAAAAAAGACTGTAGACTTGGAAAGGTGTCCTGAGATAACCGAACACACAAAGCCTGACAGGTTGCATTAAAACACCATGTTTTGCAGGAACAATTGGACGAACATACACACGCACATACACACAAAACACACGCTTCAAATTGGACTCGTAACCGCCCTATTTCTAGCACATCAACAACTGTTGAGGGTGTACATTTGTAGTTGAATAAAACATGGTATTCCCCTACACACGCTGTCACACACATCACAGGGGAAACTAGGGGGTGAGTAGTTCCTGACTGTCTAAGCAGCATCCCAATTTGGTCCCAGCTACTAGTAGCTGACAGCCTCAAATATCTGGGGAGCATTTTAAAAGGCCAGTGTTTGATGGATTCATGAAGAACACACAAATATAATTGCCATTTGTCACCGAGTCTTCAGTAGCTGCGCCACACAGGGACCGAGCACCGAGTGCCTGGAGAGCGCTGGGGCTGTGCCAGAGCCGTGCGGGGGGATCGCTCTGTATGTAAAACTGAGTATATAAACACCTCCGTTTTTTGTCACAGAAAATAGGTCCTGCAGGAGGGAGCTGGAAATTGCACCCAAAAGACAGAAGAGGGAAGAGGAGTATACACACATATAGGTACATATGTCTCTCTCTCTCTCT